TGTAGGGAAGAGGTAGAAGAATTGGGAATGAAGAAATGAAGTTGAGCCTAGGAAAAAAGGGGGGGTGGGAGGTGAGGGAACGTATTACGAGTTACATCTTTGTTTCTCATCATCCAACTCTATTTTAATTGGCAATAATTTAATTTTCTGCAAGTCAAGCCTGTTTTGCCTATGACAGTAATTGGTAAGTGATCTCACCATCTTTATCTCAGTCAACGAGTTTTTTCATCTTATTTTCTCTCCCTTCTGTTGAGGACAGGGAGCAAGAGCACGGCTGGGTGGGCATCTGGCAGCTGGCCGAGGTTAACCCACCACAATGACTCTCTAGAAATCCAGATTAGAGAGGTACCAAGTGATGACGGCACATTTTAATTTTCACAGAAATATTTTAAAGCTAGGTATAACAAAGTATGAAAAGGAAATGCAAGGTCAAACAAGAGGTTGCTTACACTTTCACAAATCTGTTCATGTACTCTGAAGGGTCTTGAAAGCACAACGAAAGATCTGTTTTTCATGCAATGATGCAAAACTGAGTCCTCCTTCACTCTGGCACTGTCTCAATTTCATCCTGGTCTTAAACAGAATTACTTTATCTTAATTAGCTGCTACATTTCTCATTTGTTTTTCAGACAAATTAGTTATTAGATGCATCTTTTCAATCTGGAAAAGAGCACCGTTCTTGATTTATAGGCGCTCCACCTGCAAACTGGCATCAGGACACAGCCAACACCTTGCCTCTGCACCCAAACCTGCTCCCTTGATGGAAGGCAGGAAAGTAAGAAAAGCCAAATGTCTTCTCCATTTGCACAGCAGCATATTCTCTCTCTTGTCTCTGAAGCTAAAGATGCAATTCCCGGACAACCAGTGGTAGGTGGCCCTGCTTGAGCAGGGTGGTTGGACCAGATGACCTCCAGAGGTCCCTTCCAGCCTCAACCCTTCTGTGATTCCCCGAGTTTATCGTGGGAAAACACGTAAGAAGCGGAACTGTTTTTAGAACACGTTCAGATGCAGCTTAGTTTGTGTCATGCGAACCCTAGACCCACTTCTATATACAAACTAAAAACCAGCACAACCTTCCTCAGTTATATGCATTATGATTCTGCTCAGAGATTTCAGGGCCAGCCCTTTCACACAGACAACCAGCGGAATTTCCCACTGGCTGTAACTTCGTCAGAAGAAACCCGCTATTTTCCAGACAACAAAGGTTCTCCCCCACTTTGCTGTATTTCTGCCCACAGTTGTTTTGAGGAACAAAAATATTTTTCATTCATTTCAACAAGAAAAGAACATGTTTTATACCCTCTCCCAAAAAATCTGTAGGGGAAGGCAGGTTGGTGAAGCGATGACAAATGTTTTCAGAAAAATATCACCCCCAGAAGAATATAGAAAAAAAAAAAATCACATTAAGCTCCTGAAAAAAATGGGTAATGTGGAACTATGTACCTGGTTTAAAGGACTCCGTTTCAGAACGGCAACCTTTCTGAATAGGTTAAAAAAAAAAAAATCAAACTTTAAATGAAATTGCTCTTTGAAGGGTCTGCTTGAACAGCATTAGGATAAAGCAGGAAAAGTGTGAACCTTCTCTTAAGGCTGCTGCTGGTTTGCATGTCTTTTGAAGTGCCAAGCAGCAACATGCTATTCCCCCACAAGAGCTGCCTGCAGTCTGGATTTTCAAGTTTCCTGAAGCAATTCCAGGTTTAGGACTGACTCTGCCCACCCAAACTCCTCCTGCCGATTCAGCTGGACACAGCCTTTGCCAGCACTCGCATCCTGCGGATTGCTAACGGCTGCCCCTTCCCACAGGGGTGCCAGGACTCCTCCGGAACATTTAATTTGCAAAGGGCCTGAGGAATCGTTGACAGAATAGCAAACTTAATAAGAGCATCTCTTGTTGATATATCTCCTCACTTACACAAGAGTCATTATATTTTCTTACTAGGGTACACTGTGTTTCTTTGAAAGACAATAGAATAAAAGATTTCTAAACCTCTCCCCTTCCATTAGTACTTGAGACAAAAGGAAGAAATCTCTCCTGTGGAAACAAAAGAGGAACGGCTCAGAGATTAAGGTCTCCATCTGGGGCGAAGAAGGACCCATTTTCAATTTCCCTGTTGCTGCAGCTTCCCTGCACAGCTGTGAGCAAGCACGGTAAGGCACCACAGAGGTGCCCATGCGCCACATTAAGAGCCAGACCTCAGCTGCTCTGAGGACCTGAGTTCAGTTTCTCTATGCCTTGCATCCCCCATCTGCAAAACAGGGACCGTGGCAGCTGCTCATCTCCTGCTTCTCTTGGGACTTGGGTCTTGTCAAGCCCTTAAAAACATTGCTGGTACTTGAGTGCTATACAGTCCTCACAGAAGGTCTACACAAGAGATTTTAAGGGGTGTATAGATTAAAAATTAGTAGATGTGAGGGGCAAAAATAAACAGCTGTTTATTATTACGCCATTATTATTTTTCAGAAGACAACCTACAGTAAAATATTTCAAGTAGCTGTAAATCTTATCTTTCCCTCTGAATCACACAGTTAACCACAAGATCATGTCTTCAAAAATAAGGAGAGGAAACACAGCAACAAAGACTTCTAGTTAAATTGGTCTCCAAACGCATTATACTAAAGGTAGCATTATACATGAGATTTCAACAGCTGCACAGTGAAGGTTTATTTAAAATACTTATTTACCTTCCAGCAAGTCAGTAGCATGGTAACCTGGTAGTTTAGGGTGGTAATCCCTGAATTCCCCCAGTGTGAAGTTGTATTTCCTAGTATCAGGCATGAGATTTTTATATAGCTTTCACATTTCTAATTGAAAACAAATTTTCTTACAGAGATGTTCTTGACATACCTTTCTTCATTTAATAAGAGCAGTAATACTTATGCTAAGCAAGCATGAAGATAGCAGTTTGAGATCTTTTGGCCAGAAATAAAATTGTTTGCATTCTTCTCCCCCCCCCGCCCCCCCCAGCCTTGCATAGGTAAGAAGCATGAAGAAAGACTAACTGATGTTTTGTTTTTTCCTCTCCAAGATTTAGTTTAGAACACCAGTTAAGCCAATAATATAAAACTCAGATTATTGACTAGGAGCAGGCAGATTCATTTCCAATTCCTGGTACCACAGAGAGAGCATTAAGGATAGAATTAGCCCCGGTAGATATGTCCAGTTAGTAAGAAGCTTTTGCCACACTTTCAGGCTATTTTTGACAACAATGGAAGTTGCTGTTAGAATCCATCCCACCTCTGGAAGTCCCCTCTTTCTATTTCTGTGAAGCAGTTTTGTGGTAACAGCTTTGAAGACAAACTGCAAGACAGCATAGGGCATCCTTAGTCTAATTCCCATGTATGTGCTATAGGGCTATTACTCTTTTATAATTCACTAAAAATCTCCATTTTAAATATACAAATGAGACATTTGCGTAACTTCTGGTTAACAGCAGCCAGGCATTGCAGAATGAAGGAACAGAACTGTACTCCAGCTGGCCATGCAATACAAAAAGGCCTCCCAGCTTCAGCACACGTCCTGCTACCGACACTCGCTTTTGGTTACATTGCCAACTGGATTCAGTTCCTTCAGATGGCTCTGCCTCTTCTCTGAAGTGACTATTCGTACAGCAGAAGCTAGAAGTGCTACACAGAAAGAACACAGTGCTGTTTCTACACGTTCCCAACACTCTCACTAGCTGGATGAAGGACCACTTTAACCCCTCTGGGACCCAAAACTGAACTCCTCTAATGTCAGAGGTCCAACATTCAGCTTATCAACCTATTCCAACCTTCTAATTGCCTTTCTTTTACCTCAAAATAAACTTCAGGGTCCTAATCAACCAGACTTTTGAACTCTGGTACTCCAGACATACACAAATCCTCCAAGATGACAAAATCGGAAAATGGAAAAACTGAGTAGAGTTTGCTTTATCTCAGAACAGTAATTGTAAAGGGCTAACCCAGATCAGTTTTGCTCAAGTTAGCAAAGAAAAAGGAAGCCTGCATAATCAGCCATATTATTCCTCCCATCCTGAAAAATCAGTCAACTAAAAGAAATTGCTAATGTCTTAAAGTAACATATAGCGGGCATTATTATCATGGTATTCTTTAGTGCTTCGGCAGCCTGCAGGGTACAATGTATGCTGACTTCTCCAGCTCTCTGCTGAAGTCTACAGGTCTGTGGTGATCTGATGGAATAACGGGACAGCAAGTACTGCTCAGTCATCGGGAAGAGAAGGAAGGAACACAAGGACCTAAGAAATCAGCACCACTATAAGCCTTGAGATTCAGGCTCATTATAATTTAATACAGTTTTTCCCTCTTTTCTAAAAATCTAACGCATGATGTTCCTCAATATAAACAATACTTTTTTTTTTGGTAGTTCTCCAAGCTTCAACAGTGGTGCTGCTTCCCTCTCTATCTCACCTCCTTACAAAAAGCCCTGAAAATTCAGAGTAAAATTTAGAACAAGCTCTCTTCTACAAGTTCTGTTTTACAGTATCATCCCAACTATAGACCTCA